AGATCACATTGTGAAACTAAACTAGTCTGCATTATGCAAATTTGTCATGGGCCCACACATTTGTACAATAACATTTTACATTCAACAAGCCCACGTCTCAATACTTTCAATATTTCTGTATCTGAAATGTAAGACTCCAACAACAAATCGAGCTCCGTGTTCCGTTCAGTTGAAGTTGAAAACAGTTAAACAACTTGAATCGGTCTGTAAAGATAAAACAGGAAGGTGGTTGCAACAGCTCTGTGTGCCATTTACTGATAAGGAGCAAAGGCCATACAGAGTAAAAGCACACACACCTAATTATAAGATCAGACATACAGTATGAAACATTAAATGGCTGTGACATAAAAGTACGATGGATTCCTTAAAGGTGAACAAACTGCTACTTAACAGCTGTTTTTCACACTAAGAAAGACCTGATGAGGGGTTTGAGCCTCTGTTATAATGTGACAGTTTGCTTAAGTACTCATGAGCTGGCAAACTAGAGAACTAAATGCTGGCATATGACTCAAGGCTGCAAAATAAGAGGGGAGCCTGGACTGGTCAACCAGCTGTGAGTCACAGAGGCGCAGTGCTTGCTGGCTGGAGGACAGTTGTGGAACCTGATTACTACAGATCTTGGTGGCAACGTGGTAATGTGTGTAGTGAGAAAGAAAATAATGGATCATGTGTCCATCATGTGAGCTTGTGTCCTGTCCACATTTCTGGCAGAAAAGCGGTGACAGTGCGCTGGGGAGAAGTGGGATGGAGTGCTTTTGCAGTGAGAGAAAACAACGCTGCATGTGGATTTTGTTTCTATGATAACAATAGCTTGAGAAATTCGTTATTAGCTTAACAAGCATGCTGTGGTTTTGTAAAACAACACCTGCAAACATAGAGAGTGGAAATATTGCTTTTCTACTTTCTGACATTTTCCGCGTCATCTCCCTTCACGTCACCCAGTTCACCACTGCAGCCAGCTGTCTGCGCTCTCTCTCTCTGTGTGTGTGTGTGTGTGTGTGTAAGTAAGAGCTGAGCCCCGCCCTCGACCAGACAAGCCGCGGAGAGAGACAGAGAAGCTTCCCTGAACATAAACGACAGCAAAATGTGGTAGAGAACTATCAGCATAGTTGTAGTGAGTGAGTCAATGAAACTGTAACTCACGCTGTACTGCTGCCACTGATCATACTTCCTACATAGGCTAACAGAGGTATACAGCACCAAACCACACTGGCTTCCTTTCATCTATGTATACTACATGCAGATATAGAAAACTAAAACAAAATCACTGCTCTGTTGTCAGCAATAATCAACTGCCCATTTTTGTATCTACAACAAATTATAATTAAGATTTTGTAACCAACTAACAAAGTTGCCCTGCTGTAGTGTGTGGTAACACTTACTGATATTGTGAATAAAAGCAGGAGTAGGGGTGCGAAGTGAAAAATAGTACAGATCTTCTAGCACGCTGATGTGTGAGCTAGAGATAGCGACAGCCACCATCTCCCAGTGATACTGAAAATGGTGAGACATTAAGGATGCTACATACAAGCAAAGCCTTAACACAGGCTTGCTTTCTCATGAGAGGGACCCTTTGTGCTAAGAGCAGAGCTGTTTAGTATTAGTATCAGCAGACAGATAGCACTGGTGATGGGAGCAAAGGAGCCACTATGAACACACTCCACCTCAGAAAAGTTCTCTTTTAGATGTACTACTCCAAATGCTTTTGTACCGTGTGCTGTACAGCATCAGGTATAGAAACTGTCACCGTTCTAAATAAACAGACTTGTTAGTGCTGTTCATGAAGGCTCATCTGTTTCTTGAGCATGCTCTTGTATTTGTGGTAAAGTTGCCAATTGAGAGAGGGATTTAGTTTAGTATTATTGACGTTTAAACAACCGTTATGTAACCAAATATCTAACTGGTCTAAAAAAACAGAGTGCAAAGAGCAGAGTGAGCTAGGAAGCGAGAGAGACCAAACTGGTGCAGGTTTATTGAAGTAACAATGCAATTAGCATTAAAAAAATGTTTGGCAGCCACAAAGGTAGCAGGCACACACAGCTGACACCAGGCTAACCAATAGCATTGTTTAAAAAGGTATTGGTAGGTGGATCTTCAGTAATGAACAAGGCAATTTTAAACTTAACTGCAATTATGCAAAGATTATCAGAATTTCTACATTTTTTAAAGAAGGGTTTCCTATTTTATGCCACAATTTTTGTGAAATCCTGGTGGGACATGGGAACTATTTTGAAAATGACCATCGGATCACAAATCATTGCTAGTAGATTACTAAAATGACTTTCAGTTGTGAAGCGTGGCTCCACCGGTGTACCAGTGTGATTTGGCGAATGACAGGAGCTTGTTTCATCCTGTTTCTCATAAGTTACCTGAGGGGAAACATTCAGACTTGAGACTAATGTATGAGCACTGTGAGGAGGAACAAAAGAGGAAAAAAACAGGATGAAAGAAATGAAGAGGGGGATGGTATCTGACGAACATCGGGCCGATTCATTCTGTCTGAAAAAGTGAACTGGTCCTTTGGGCAAAGCAGCCAACAAATGATTCAGATGAAATGTGGACAGCGCTAGAGGCAACATTCATGCAGGCCTTCCTTCCCCATTTCAGATTCATTCTCCGTCCAAAAATAACGTGTTAAGCATTTTTGTAGCTTTTAAGGTTGTGTCCTTTACAGTATGTTACCCACAAGCTGGTTTAAATGTTCTAGCCTTACACATAGTGACATTAACAACATCTGGTAATGTATGTCAGACGGGGCTGGCTATATCACTGTGAGACTAAATGTTTTTCAAAAAAGGATATTGCTTTATCTATAATTACAAAATGAATTACATCACACCGATAAGAGTGGGGGATTTTTTCAGCCACATGGTGCCAAAGTAGAGCTTCATACACAGGACAAGACTGAATCTGAAGAATTATGTTTTAGAGATAAGTTTTTAGTTACATAAAATGACCTGTTTAACTTAATGATTTAAATTCAAAGGAAAAAAATGGCATTTCCCATTAACATTTTGGCTGGAACTCTGGTAAAAAAGCTTGAGATGTTCCAGCAAGACAGCTAGCTGTTAAAATTAGAGAAAAAGTACAGTACTTCCTCTTCTCATATGCAAATTTAATAAGAACTCATATTTAGCTCAGCGTTTCCTAAGCTGACTTTCAGTCCCTCCCTCTAGGCCCCCCTGGTGAGATAAGAAATCGTTTCAAAACTCTCTACTCAAATCTCTTATTCAGGGGGGGAAAAAACACTCATCCCCTGATAGAACAGCCAACCCATCCACAACAGCTGACTTCTTCATTATATAATAGTATAAAATCAAGCTACTTCACCACATTGATGCCAACTGTGGTAAACTACACACTAATACTTGCAGAGCGACAGTCTCATCTCACGTGGACTGAAAGCAAAAGCCCATTCAGAGTTAAGATAAAGATCCTGTGGGAGGAATACGACAGAGAAATTATTTTGGAGGATGTTTATTTACTGCTCGCTGTTGATCCCTTATTACTAGCTACAGTTACAATAGCTACGGCTACAGTGGAGCCTTCTCTGGTTGCAGTCTGCATTCAGCAAAAGCAGTCATGGGCTTGGTTGCAGTGTTGGCCAAGTTACAGGAAAATTGTATTTAGCTGCAGTTACTAGTTACCTCTCAAAAGTAATTGAAGTACTTTACCAATTACTCTATGTAAAGACATTTTTGCATTACATAAATTAAATGTCTGCTTTAAATTTCTTATTCATGCATACAGCGGTCAGCTTTAAGTGTCACTGTAAGACAAATTTACCTTGTTGTTAGTGGAATTACAGCAACCCCGTTACTCTATAATGCGTTACTTCCAATACGATGGGAGTGGTGACAACATTAATTTTTTACACTGGATAGTGAACTTTGAAGGAACAAACTATGAAATTAATATTAAATACAAAATGATGTGATGTGTTTTTCCATCAACCTGCATGTCTTACAAGGCAGATGTTGCCCGTAAAAACAAGTTATTGTTATGAGCAAAACAGGATGACAGGTTACACTGAAAATACACAAAGCTGTGTGGTCCTTTAGAAATGTATCTTTTACAAAAGGGGCTATTCACTCTGTTATCAGCCAACAGCTTAAGAGCAGTGTTTCTGAGAATCATCTTAACTGTAGGCGGTCTTTTTTTAGTAAAATAAGAACTGACCTTAAAGCTGTGGGGAGAAAGAGGACCTCTTAAACTCATGTATCATCAAAAGGATATTTTATACTGAGTATATAACTAAAGACATTTCCTAGAAAATAAGGGAACATGAAGGTTTATCTAATTGTTCAGTGCACTGTCACCTCTGCATGCTGCCCATCCTGACTATGACAGGGGGATTATGATGATTGCATTTAAATCCAAAGAGAATCACTGTGTAGGAAAATTGCAGTATGTACTTTCTAATATCTTTGCTATCTCATCAAGGTCGGAGAATGACATGCATGCTTTTCAGGCAACCAGAAAGCACAAGGCTTTGAATAAGCTGCTCATGACCGGGGATCTGGGCATGCCTGAGGTTTCAGAGAGCACTTTAGAAACACATGCATTTCTCCTTTAGAATACTGAAGTATCATACAATGGGTCACACACCATCAAGGCCTAAAATCTTGTTGTTCTGTTGCCACATGCATTTACCATGTGTAGCATCAAATGACGCAGTAGTGTTTGGGATTCTAGGCTATAGGCACAAGTCTAGAGATCTTTTTATTTTATTAATGTGGATTTAAGTTGGGTGTGTCAATGTAAAATAGGAATAAAAAAAGAACACACTGACCGCAATGTAAGATATAGACTTCACACTGTAGTTTTATTCTAGAAACATTACTGCGTGAAACTGTTGATGACACTTTCATTTAACACAGGACGGATGTGATTAATTACACAGGATATAAATTTACAGTGAGAAAGTACAGGCATCATATCATAGTTATGAGTAATACAGACATGTCTGAACATTAAATCATCAAATAGTTGTCACTTACCTTTAGGATTTCTCCACGCTTGAAACTAAGCTCATCATCAGCAGTAGCTTTGAAATCGTATTTGGCAATGGCCTCCATGGTTGTTGTTGCGTGCTGGAAAACTGCTTGGCTGTAGTTGTGTTTCAGGGACTGAATAAAAAATAAAAACTCTTATCCACGCTCCTGAGGCCAGATGCTTCTCTCCGAGTCTCTCCTCCCGTCTATGACCCGCTCCTTTAGGGCTTAGACCTCACATAAAGGTTACAGTGAGGTGCCTGCAAATAAGAAAGGATGTGGTACTCAATCACGCTAAAATGTAGTGTAGAGCCACAACTGCACATGAAGATTCTCATTCAAAAAGAGAGAACTAGAGCGAGAGGGCCCGAATTACACCCAAAAGATGAATTTGGTTCGCTCTGAACCTTCAGAATATCTGGAAAATGTGAATATAATTTCTCATTCAAGTTGTAAGTCTGCACTTATTTCAGGGCCTCTTAGTTACGCTCATAAGATGCTATTAGAAGTGGTTTTCCTGTAATCATGATACAGTTATATTGTGATCTAGACATCATGATTTGTTCTCTTAAAGAATTTACAATATCTAAAATATAGCACACAAGTACTAATGGCAATCTCCAGAGGCAAACCTATATAAAAAAGGGATTAAGGCCTATGTGTTCTTGTTGCTGTTACTCTGGGCACAAGAGGATACTGATGCCAAATGAACTACAATCAATGGCAATTCCTACAGCCACCTGGCCCGACCACAGCTAACTTAAGTCGGTAGCCTACTTAAGCAGAGCTGACAGTGATACACTGGCTAAACCTACAGTTGCTGAGTTAAATGGATAAAGCTACGTTATCTCATTAAGTTGTTTGCTAATATGCTACCGTGCAGCTCTGATGGGTTCACCCTAATAACGTTACAGCTCTACGCTGAATAAGGCCTTTAAATCTGACAGCTAGATGACCAGGGAATGCTAACAAACTAACTGTTAATGGCAAATTATCGGTAAAGGCAAACTTTCGCCCCCCCAGGAGAACAACCCACATCACCTCGTCACGGACTATGAGTTAATGGGTTAGCTAGAACAGTCGATGACTTTTCTAGAAGTCATTTGACAGTAGGGACACAACAAGTCCTAAAATGTGACTGCAGCCATTGTTTACAGTAATACCACTGTCAACAAGTCAACCCATGGCCACTATGAGCGAAGACAAGCGAACAACACAGCCGACAAGAGACAGAAGTAATGTTAGTTAGGGTAAAGTAATGGAAAGGGAAGCTGAAGTCCAAAAGGGGGGGGGGGCAGACTGCCTCTAAACTCCTCTCTCGGATCCACAACCGTCTCTTGATGTGTTACTGCCACTGTCAGATTCCTCCACCCGGTACTAATGTGGACACTGAGCACCGGACCGCGTTTTTACCGAGTTCGAGTGGATCGAATCCGTTCCAGCGTTCTGGAGCGCTCCAGCTAGCACACCGGCTAACAGTCGGACAACAATAACTGCGGTGCGGCTCTCAAACTTCACCCCGTTAATACAGCACAGCGGGCAGACTGACGATGACACCGCTTAAAACAAGGGTCCCCTTTCACGATAAACATGAGCTGTTTACTGACGCTCGGGGCCTGTACGCTAGCTTCACGTTGGCAAATGTGAAAGGAAGAAAACACCTTTTTTTTTTTTTTTTTTTTCATAGCGCAAGCTGTTGTTGCTAACGTTAGCTTAGTGGCACAGTTAGCCCAGCTAACGTTACTGAACTTGCCTAGCCTGCGTCGCGAAAGGGAAAGAGTGCACAACTTTTATGTAAGGAGAAAGAATAAGGTAAACTCACCACTCGAGATATTCCGTTTCGATGCTGCCACCGTAACACACAAAAACCCTCTCGTGTAATTATCCACTCCCTGTTTCCTCTTTTGAGGCAACAAACGATGTACGTCTGATGTCGCTTACACCCCGTCCGAGGAGCCTAAACGTAGCTACTAGCATAAGCTTTACGACGTTTATTTCCGCTTCCTTCCACAGTGCTGGGAGGGTCTGCAGGCTGCTGGGACTGGAGCTCCTCCCTGTCAGTCTGCTGTCTGCCGAACCCACCACACATCTGACTGATACTGCCGCCTACAACGGGGTTGACTCACCCACCATGTATATATATATATATATATATATATATATATATATATATAGACCTAGTGTACTACTTCTATCTATCTATCTATCTATCTATCTATCTATCTATCTATCTAGTTTGTGTTTCATCAATCACACAAATCACATAAATGACTGCACACCAGTTACTACATAATAAGTGAAGTTGAAATAAAACGAGGTGGAGCATCCCAGTGCTGTCAGATTGATGGCTGTGAAATAATGTCACACTGTAATGCCACATCAGCGCTAGTTTGTACTGCTCAGGTGCACACAGTCACCATGTTCTGATATACTTCTTAGTAATGAGGTTCAAGAGTCTTGGATGGATTATATCAGAAAGTAATTGGGTGTGTTTGATTAAATAATCCACCTTATAAACCACCTGTTTTCAGCAGGTAGTCTGCTGGTTCTTCCCATTAAAAATGAACCATATTAATAATAGAAATTCATGCAGGGATATGTCTCATACAAAGCAGCCCAAAATATGCCTTCAGTGCAGAGACACTACTCTGATTCTACACTATAAAAAAGGACAATATTAGGCTTCTTCCTCTAAAGCGGGGAGTGTGTTAGCTCCTACCTTTATCCCCACCACAGAACACATTATTTAGTAAATATTTGGCCGTCTTTCTCTGTTTGTTTTTTTTTTTTTTTTTTTTTCTGGGACATCTGCTTTTAATTCCGAGCGGTGTCTGTGACAACAGGGGCATTTAAATACCTTGACAATGCTGACACCTAGTGGGGACTTACTAATGCATCATAAGCTGAACATGGTAAAAGTTCCCCAACAGGAGAGGATGCAGGACAGAGAGAAAGAGCTGTGGTAATGTCAGATACACTGTCACAGACACAGAGAGGGAGGGGGCTAAATGTTTTTACAAACAAGGGAGACAGCATTAATAGGGGGGGGGTCCCACTGACAGCATGGAGCATGGTGAGCCCCGGAGAGGAGAGGACTGCTACATCATACCTGTACGCGTTGGTAGGGATCCAGTTGAAGCCAGAGTCTGTCTGTCTGTCTGTCTGTCTGTCTGGGTGCCAGTTGTCAGTCTGACAGCATCACGGATATGTGTTACGTCAGCTCGTTTTTTTCTTGTTTCCCCCATTAGGTGCGTTTGAGTTGTCGCGTGCACTGATGAAGACTTTTGGATAACACAAACATGCGCGCGGCGTTGATGAACTAATATCGAAGTAAAATTATTGTTTTTAATCCTTTCATGCTGTTTCTATGTCTAACTGAACTTTATTTCGCTCGACTGTTAAATAAGTCGTATCATTCTTTTTATAATCAGACTGTTTTGGATAAAGAGCACCAGGAGCTGTTTGGGATGGACTTTTCCCACATTTCGAATTCATCTTTTTCCTCCTTCAGTTCTCCCGGGAATACAGAACAAGGTAGGTTGTTTGTTTCATCTCCTTTTTTTAAATGAACTCCTTCAAATTAACCGAGCACACGATGTAAATGCAACATTATTGTTAAATAATTTATGAATGGATCAGTGCTCATTGTGGCCGTTTTTGGTCAGATCCAGTGGCTTAAGCATCATTAAAAACAAAATATATATATGTGAAAGAATTCCAGGCAGCAGGATTTACTGTATACAGTATAAGTGACTGACTTAGAGTATCTGTGTGTGTCCTTTCTGGCAGAACATGAGCAGTACAACAATGTGCTCATGCCCAGCATCTTTGGTGTCATCTGTTTCTTTGGTATCTTTGGAAACTGCATTGTGATCTACACCATTGTGAAGAAGACCAAGTTCTGCTCCCAGCAAACAGTGCCAGACATATTTATCTTCAGTTTGTCCATCGCAGACCTCCTCTTTCTCCTCGGCATGCCTTTCCTCATTCACCAGCTGGTGGGCAATGGCTCCTGGTGCTTTGGTGGCACCATGTGCACCGTCATCACTGCGCTTGATTCCAACAGCCAGATAGTCAGCACATACATCCTGACCGTGATGACTCTGGACCGCTACCTGGCCACTGTGCATCCCATCCGCTTTAAACATGTCCGAACCCCCTTCGTGGCTGGGGCAGCGGTGGCTCTGGTGTGGGTGTTTTCTCTGGTCTCCATCACTCCAGTCTGGATGTACACAGGGCTCATGCGTCTCAAGGATGGCTCAGTCGGCTGTGCCCTCCTGCTGCCCAACCCGGCCACAGATACATACTGGTTCACCCTCTACCAGTTCTTCTTGGCCTTCGCTTTGCCTTGGGTGGTCATCTGTGGGGTCTTCTTCAAGATTCTCCAAAACATGTCTGCTACAGTTGCCCCACTGCCCCAGCGCAGCCTGAGGGTGAGGACGAGAAAGGTGACTCGTATGGCAGTGGCCATATGTGTGGCGTTCTTCACCTGCTGGGCCCCCTACTACATCTTGCAGTTGGCCCACCTTGGAGTACAGCGGCCCACCTTTGCCTTCCTGTACGCCTACAACATTGCTATCAGCATGGGCTATGCCAACAGCTGCATTAACCCCTTTATCTACATTGTATTAAGTGAGACATTTAAGAGGCAGTTCATTGTAGCCATCCGGCCGTCCCACAGGGGTTTCAGAGTTGCCCCTACTCTGGCTGATGGCAGCATGAGTCTGAGGACGGCACCAGACAGCTCTCATCCGTCCCACTCGCACTCATCAAGGGAACTACTTCAAAACATGCTGCCTGTCACTGTGGCCGTGCACTGAGAGGGACGCTTAAAGGGGAACTTCAGCAGATTTTTACCCTAGACTTGATCACTAGAGGTCACCGAGTACTGTCGATAGGAAAAAGAACGACCAGAATTGGTTCTAGCAAACTGGCGTTCCTGCAGCTATTGGCCAGAGCTCCCAGTTAGTTATAATACACTTCTTGGGGGCATAGACTAAAGAGAGCCTTTTACTCCTCTTAACAGACATAAAATGCAATTAAAATGTCTGTGCAACATGATCAGGGCCCTTACGTGACAACAACATGCCTTTTCAACTCATACGTTGTGCAGAAACCGTACAAAACATTACTGTCGCCTACCTGTTTTTCCACCGCTCGCTTTACCGAAAGCCCAGAATAATCGATCACGGAGATAATGCCTTCGCGACAAAAAAAAGTTTATTTCCCCCTCAAAAATGTCCATGTCTTCACACACTACTCTCCGATTTGCACACTTCTTGCAACAATTTCTCCTCCTGCGTTTACCTGCAACAAGTGAAATCCCACGGGACTTCAGCGCGGGACTTCAGCGCGGGACTTCAGCGGGACTGCAGCGCGGGACTGCTCTGGCGCTGAAGTCCCGTGGGAAATGAGTGGAGATCGGAGGTGTTCACAAGTGAAAAAGCTTGGAGTAAGAATAACATGTGTTGTTGATCTACTGTGGAGAAGAAATGGTTCGCGTTTGTGCCTTTCCAAATGGTGGCAACAGAATGAGAAGGTACAAGTGCCTACACTTTCATCGTCTACCTTTCCATGACCATGAGATACTGCAGTTGTGGCTAGTTGTTCTTCAGCTGGATGTGCAAACTCCCATACAAGTACTATGCGAAAATGATCACCGCATTTGCAGCGAACATTTTTAGGAGGATGACTACAGAGACACAACACAGCAGAGGCCAGCTGAAGAGAAATGCCATTCCGAGGACCATTTCTTCGTTTTGGCAGACACGGCTTGAGAAGCGATGTGCAGCAACACATTTTTTGGGGGAAATAAACTTTTTTTCAAGGATTATTAACATGGGTGAAGGAGGGTGGACGGTAGTACTGTTTTGTACGGTTTCTGCACGACGTATGAGTTGAAAAGGCATGTTGTTGTCACGTAAGGGCCCTGATCATGTTGCACAGATATTTTAATTGCATTTTGTGTCTGTTAAGAGGAGCAAAAGGCACTCTTTAGTTTATGCCCCCAAGAAGTGTATTATAACTAACTGGGAGCTCTGGCCAATAGCTGCAGGATCTCCAGTTAGCTAGAACCAATTCTGGTCGTTCTTTTTCCTATCGACAGTACTCGGTGACCTCTAGTGATCAAGACTAGGGTAAAAATCTGCTGAAGTTCCCCTTTAACTGGCCATCCATGACCACTGCCAACAAATGGCTACCTGCCACTACTGACTGTTCTTATTCCCTCAGCAAACACTTCTGTTTCCTTGAAGACATACTGGAGGAGGGGTCTCCTTTCCAAATGTGACTGTACTAAACCCGTTAAGTACATGAGTGTGCCAAGGAGTGATATAATAAGTGACATTTCAAGGATGTTCAATGTGAGTAACATTCTTATCTAATCACACGTTTACCAAAATGAGAGAAAAAGGAACAATAGATGACTTCTGGTGTCTGTTTAGTCCCAGTAAACTACAGAGAATAAGTCAGCAATTCAACATGGAAAACACATAACACAGGCTTATTCATAATAGAGCATAATGAGTGACTTAAAGCCCCCGGATGTTTACTGAGGATAGCAACTTTATTAATCATTACTGTACCTCTGATTCATTTCATGCATTTTTGATTTGCCTTCGAAATGACCAACGCTATCTCAGTAATTTCTAAGCTAACAGGAGGCAATTTTGTGATCTAGAGAAACATTCATGGGGCTGTTAAGAGGGCTCAATCACATATATGAATATCTGCAGGGAAAAAGCCCCCAAATGAAGATATTTGAACTCACAAACATTACATTATTGTGGCGCATTAGTAAATCATTAAATAGACATAACTGAATGTGGTGTTAGAAATCAATAGTTTTATTTCCAAATCATCAGATGTTTTTCCAAATATGTGCCTTTATTTCAGTGAACCTAATATTAATCACACAGTTCTACACCTCAGTGTAACAAGTTTTATGGTCTGAAGTATAATTTATAAGTAGTTATTTTTTTTAATTAACAGTGTTGAAGTGTTTA